GATCCCTCTGCAGAGCCCTCCTACCCTCAAGGAGATCAACACTCCCATCCAACCCGGTGTCATCTGCAAACTTACTGAGGAAGCAGAGCTACAACTCACATGTCATCCCTAATTCATGCCACGGTCAAATCCAAACTCTACATATAACATCAAGGTCCCACTTTAAAACCAAGTTAGTTGCTCTGTCAACGTATACAGCAGGAAACTTGAGTACATCTGTTGCCAGAGTTAATATTGCATTAGAGATGTACATACAATTTAGCAAAAATAGCCAACTGTTAGCGTACAAACTCCACTGAATCAATCACACTTGTTATTACTAATCAAATACACTTCCCACAGCTTAGACATCGGAGAAGGTAGGCATTAGGAATTGTCTTAAAAGGAAGAATAAAACTAAGAGAAGGAAAAGGGAAGTAAAGTGGTATCTTTGAGACAGGAGCAGAAGAAGAATGGTGAGAGAGAGGCAAGACAACATTTATATGTGCTTCTGCCAAACCTTGGCTTTTACCTACTGAATAGCAGACACCATTGACAGCACTTAAGTCAGAAGTGTTTTACGATCCATTATAAATATCAAATAAGTCGCTTTTCTTTGGAACTTCTTTCGAAACCAGGAAGATTTCTTTTCCCCCTAGCTGCTAGATCAGTCCGCGTAGGGGTTTCGAGTATCTTCCCTATCTTTCCGCACAAACAGTATTCCAAATTAATTAAAAAAAAAAAAAAAAAAAAAACCAAAAAAAAAAGCCAAACCCCACCCCCAGGAAACAGACGATGTTAATTTGAGTTCCTTGTATCTCATACAACAGGGAAAGAATTTGTGGCCTCAGCGACTGGTGGTTTGATTTAAACAACAGTGGGGAGTGGCTCGGAAGTAGAAGTCCTAACAGTAGTTGACCAGATCAGAGACTGTACAGGAACAGTAGGTGAATCAGACTCTTCAATTTACTCACAGGTACAATCACCAGATAAGTTCATAAAAATAAAGTTAACAAAGTTACAGGATCAGAAACAAAATATCTCTCTTCATTGCCCTTCCTGATAGGCCCAGTAACTTTTTGCAACCATTTCACAGCCTAGTCATTCAGAGTCTAAGCTGGCTCAAATTGGCATTACAGTCATGCTAACTCACAAGACAGCTCACTTGAAATAACATAATAAAAAATTAATAATCACTTCCCAATTAAATTTCCTAAACAGCCATAACTCTGAGGTGTTCATAATCAATTCATGAATCAGTTTAACAACTGCAACTAGTAAGACTGGTGCTTTATTATTAACAGTATAATCTCTCTCAGGAATATTAATTTTCACTCAATCCAGATGACCTTAGAGCAACAAAAAGACAGAACCTTGAACATATATCTAATAATATTTATAATCTTAACAAAAATAATGATCCTTAGTGATCCTTAATGCTCCTAAGTGCAACATTTTTTCTTGACTCACATTATCATTCTCCTACAAAGCACTGTAATCAAATGTAACAGCAATTAAAATGCATATAGCACAAATGTAGTATTTCAAGCAAACATTCAACTAAAATTTATCTTCTATAAAGCTCTATACAGTGTACGGAACACTTGTTCCCACAGGTTATTTCCTCATTCACAAAGATTTAATCTGTGTTCAAAACTGACAAATAACCATAAATGCATTATAAATACACAAGACAGATTCTGGAATAATCCATATACCACAAGGGTAAACTCTGAATCATTCATGGTAGTTGTCAAATTTCAAAGCATGCATTTATAGCTTTGTTTCTGTTCTTTTTTCTTTTTTTGCTGTTCCATTTAACGCAAGCTTTATAAAACATTTCCCTGTCTTCTAAACGCCTCAGAATCTGTTATCCTCTGATCTAACAAAACCAAACAATACTAAAAGATCTATCAGCTCTCTGGCACAATGCCAGCAAGGTGCTGGTTTCCACAAACGATGGAATTAGGACTTCATCATATTTCGGATACAGATGGCTCAATGTAAAATTGAGTGTCACCATGTGGAAAAGAAAACATAATTGGTAAACTTTTAAACTGAGGAATAAGGACTTGGAGCACAGCAACATTTCTCACTAGTTTTGGTGGCCCAAGCACACACGTACATCACGCATTCGTTGGTGGTTTTATACCTGGAATTCTGCAAGGTATTTACCTTTCTGTATTAAATGCAACATCTATAACACAATGTTTTCGATAAAATGTATTTTGTAAAAAGCATTTGGTTTTGTTTACCACAAATAGGCCGTTATGACAAATGAATCCCACCATCCCTTTTCTGCTGTATGTTGCCCAAAATGTCAGCTACTTGTATCCATCTCCTTTCCTTGAGCAATGACAACTCTGAAGCAAACTGAATGAAGATACAAGAACAACCTCTAATTCCAAACAGAATCAAAAAGAACCCTTCTTAGCACTATATTCAAGCGTAAGAAATGAAAAATATTAGTTGTGCAAGTACACCATCTGCTGGCCAAAAATTAACTTTGGCAAAAATTCTAAGAGAAAACATTTTGATCAGTGGCATCTGTAACTTTCCTCACCAACAGTCGGGTATCAGGATTTTTTCCTCCTTTTCCTCTAAACGCCACTAGGCTGTGCACCATGACATGGCTTTCACATCACTGCTCAGTCTTCTCTTTCCTCAGTGTCTATTCCTTTCACTAACATTTCTCCTTTGTAATTTGTTTTTTGTTTATTTTTAAATGACACACATTTAACCACGGCCATTGAGGTTTTTTTGTTCTACCTATCGCTGTTTTCTTCCCCACTCTTTTATTCCCCACTCCCCACAACTTTCCAGTGCTCTGTCTCCTCTCCCTATGCATGTAACATCTGAGTTACATCTGAGTTAGGATTGTTGAATGCTGCTCTTCTCACTTCATCCTTCACTTGTATGACCTCCCTTCCTCAGCCTCCCAATCTAATGACAGGGCAATTCCATGAGAAGGAAACCTCTGACCTTCTCTTCGACCAGTCAGCACTTCGAAATCGGGTATTACTGCATTCTCTTTTCTTTGGAAATGTTGCTCATGCAACAAGAAACTTAAGATACTAAAGACCAAAGCAAACATTAAAAAAAAAAAAAAAGGGGGGGAGAAAAGAAAAAGGGCAAGCTTATATTTCTTGAAAGAAACACTGCTTTCCTGTGCCCCATTTTGGCTCCACAAAGCAACAGCAATCTAGAACGTCTCTTCATCACAACACCTCAAATCAGAATCTTCAACTATTATCTATTTTTATACAGCTGTTTGGACACACAATAGAACTTGGACTTTCTGCATTCTCTAAACAATAGACCATTGGACCTTTACAGCTATCTTTCAAAGATCACGTAACCTAGTGCAAAAACTGAATTGCCTTAAGCCATCTTGGCTGACCGTATTTATCTTTGGACAGAGTCTTCAAGTAATCTGTCTTCTGTGAAGACACATAAAACATTAGTAGAGCCTCAGACCATCTGCCACAGCGAAATTCTGGGGTTCTTGGTTTGTTATTTTTTAACGACTGGAAGAGGCAGTTACACAGAACATAAAATAACTCAAGAACTCCATATGTGGTAGATTCTTTTGGAGAAAAGTTTGTCCTGTGTTTTTTAAAGCCTCAAATATTTTTGAATTGGTAACATTTCTTCTCTTAGTCTCCTTACTTAAATAATCCTTTCAAAAATCTAGTTCCTACAGCTACTTACATAGCCTAATTGATATCAATGGACATTCTGTAATTCTTTGGATAACGAGATCTGTGCTAAAAGTCCCTTTTTTATACATGGAGATGCTGGCAGGTAACCAGCAGAATGCATTTCCTTAGGAAGTTTCCATTTCATCTCTTTTAATTCAGAGGCACACAGTAACTGCAAGCATGTTTCTAGGAAACTGCCAACATTCCAAGCATGTATAAAAATACAGCTATCCATTTTCCTCAGTGAAAGACAAACAGATGAAGTATTTAATCTTTTAATTTTAAAATAAAACTTTTTTAAAATATCACTAAACTTCCACAGAGGTACTCACATAACACGCATACTGAAATGTGAATAAACAAATAAATAAATAGGAAGGAATCTCTAAGTTCTGGAGAGGTCAAAGTGAAGAAAGGGAAGAGTCTTATGATCAGGAAGAGTAGCAATATCCTACTGTCTAAGAACAGAACTGTCTGACTCCTGCAGATGTAGAGTTAATTCCAACTTTGCTTTGAGTCTTTAAAGTCAGTAACACGAAGATTTCAAAAGAAAGACAGATTCTCAGTCACAAAGCAAGAATGTATCCTCTAAGTATAGTACCCTTTAAAAGAGGGCTGGAAGAGATAAACTTCATAAAAAGCTATGCATACTTCATCATAAATGCTCCCATTGATATCTGCTCCATAAATTGGTGCCACAAAAGTCAAGTTCTTCCAGTATTTACGCTCCAGATCTTCATAATCTACGTATCTTGGGGTGCAGTATCTGCAGAAGAAGAGGTAGGCAAAGGTTCAACATAGTCTTTCAGCAACCACCTTCACAATGGACTACGCTTCTGATCCTGGAAACTGAATTCTAGAGATCACTTCATTTCAAATTCACTGAAACAGAGGAATAATTAGTTGTCCTGAATTCTTAGTTTCATGATTCACCACAGCATGTAATCTCCTACCTGACAGCTATAGTAACTGAAGTCATACATCTACCAATACAACATTTTCTGCAGTATCCAGCAGCTAAACAGCACATCTACCAACCATTCTTAGGCTGAGGCCCTCCATTTTGTTCCTCTTCCATTAAAAAAAAGAAAAAAAAAAAAAGACACACATGGAAAAGTTACTAAATTACTAAATGGACAAATATTTGTTATTTTCCTGCCTCGCTACCAGCTCTGCAAAGACACAGAGGCAGGTCCTGCACAAGCCTGTCTCAGAACAACTCAGATGTACTAATTCCACCAAGTAGCAGCCCTGTCGGGCAAAACCACTACTTTCTTCTCTTCTTCCTTCCCCAGAAAAAGCTTTTGAGAATAGGCATAACATTTCAAACAGTTGATACCAAAAATTCTACCATGCAGTGAAAAAAATATATAAGGGAATTTTTCTTTTTACTTCTTTAGTTCAGTACAGGGCACCATACCTTTATGTGCGTAAATGTACTTATGTATACATATTTTTGGAAGGTTACTCAAACCCTATGTAAAATCTTGAGAGAACACAACAGAAGCACACCACCACAGAAAATATCAATCAATAGCTTTTGCCTCAGGATCCTTTGTCAGGCCTCTGTTCTCCCATATTTAGGTCTTCAGAAAAGAAAACCTGATCCCCCATTAATTCAACTCTGAGAAGTAAACATTCACATTAGCACTGCCAACTTACTACACTTGAACTACTGGAAAGAAAATCCAAACATACAAGAATTAAGTAGATCAGATACATTTACATAAAGCAGTAACACAGAACAGAGACAGGCTAGTTAGCAAAACACATCTTAACCAAAGCATTCTCAGCAATGGAGTTGTTTCAATTACTTCTCATTATATGGCTCCAGAAATCAGACTGTATTTCTGTTTGGCACTGAGTAATACATAAACTCAGTTATCATAATACAAGTATCTTGATTACAGGATACAGGTGTGCCCGTATTTCCCAGAAGTCAAGGTGGAGAAGCACCTTGGTTCAATGGTGAATTGTGAATGCCTAAACAAATAAAAGATGCAAGACATTAGACTGAGCACACACAATCCTTTCAAAGGCAACTATGATCTAAGTTAGATGTTCATGGCCACTCTCTCTTCCCCAAAGGAAATGAATAACAAAAAGAGTCTTTAACAGAGAAGTCTTCTTCATTAAGGAATAAACTTATTTTTATGGGAGAACAGGGGCTTTCAGGTACTTAATAGTTTAAGAAATATAGTCTGTATTAAGAGTGTCATAGGAGGTTATACAACACGTTTTCTCAAGAGCAGTGATGAATATTTAGAAAGACCTACAGCTAGTGATAGATAAGAAGCCCTCCCAACTGTTCCCCACTTCACTTATGAAGTTATGAACTGATTTCAGTAAAAAACATGAAAACTGTAATCAGAAACACTTCCAAAATATCTTCCATGATAAAGAATATAACACACTTAACATCATAATACATAACAGCATTTTTGCATTATTAAACTGTTTTAAGAAATTAGTGTTTCTCATTTTATCATGGGTTGATCAAATGTAAACTTTAAACATAAATGAATAGATATCATAGAAAATGAGATCAGATACCATATAGGTTTTACATTTTATTTTCCCCTCTAACAGTTACTGAACAAATAATTTTAAGAACTACAAAATAGGTTCCCATTCTCACTTACCAGAGTAAGAAAACTGTAAGCTCGATAACCTCAATTTTTCACAAATAATATATGAACTGAAATATAGCGATCCTTTTTAATTGAAAAAATTACATCAGTTTTGCACTTTAACAAAGGATATTATGGAATATTTGCTGAAGAGCCTCTTTAAAAGCTTTTTATGTCCTAGTTTTTCCTGATCTTGATAACAGCTTCTCTCCTTACCTCTTAATTCCTTAACTTATGAGAGAAACTTTCCTTCAAATTAGGTCAGTGTTAACTTCCTTCATTATATTCAAGTAGCTTTCCTCTCTAGGATCCTTTGACTCACCATCCAGAAAGTATTTCCAGTCAGTTTTGAGGAAATACTGAAGCAGAATTTATTCTTTTTATGTGGCTAAAAGGAATGGGGAAGTATTCCTTCTATCACTTCCCTCTTCTAGGAATGCCAACCAATTTGAAACTTTTCAGTACAGTGCCTAGCCCTTAATATACCTTTCTTCCCTCCCTTAATATCCATCTTGCCATAATCAGAACATAGACATTTGCTATGTACAATTGTACAATAGTACGAATCTTAGATTAAAGCAAAAACTCCTGTGTGAGTTAAAAAAGATTTTGGGTTTTTTTCAGAATTACATGTTGATAGGCCATCCCAGTAGCTAGGGGGGGAAAAAAAAAAAAAAAAAAAAAAGAATTAAGTATTAAATATTATAGTTGTACTCAAAACTCAGGTATAAGTCTGAAATATCTTCATTATTTTCAACATTAGCATTTATTAGATCAGAAAGCAAAAAAGGTACACAGAAAGCATCAAGTTTTTCAGATGATTTCTTGCTGCCATGGTACCAAATGCTTTCAATAACAGAAATACAAACAAGATTCATATTGTGGTACCTTTCCACAACTTAAGACACGGGAAAACCTCTACTAAGTAAAAAAAATCAACAGTTGCCTAGCACAATTCAAAGAAGTCACAATACGGGAACAAATAAATATTTGTCTTTCTAAGCAAGACCCCCCCCATATACATACTTGTCACTGTTGGCCAGCTGCTTGAACTCCTTCACTGTCATCGGCTTTTTCTGAATGTTGTACTGTGTGAAAAGCCCTGACTGGCCAGTGACCATCTGCTGAATTGGAGCAGGAATCACCAAATCTTCAATATCATTGTAATGTTTTCTTGGCCTCCACTCCTTTGGTGGGATAACCTTTAAATTCAGAAATAAAAAACAGGACATCAAGAGGTTGTAAGGGTCGGTCCGAAAACAGCACTGTCTCAACCTTGTCATCAGGGATGTGGACAGTAAGGTACCCCAAAAGTTAGGCTAACATCTTGACAAAGTCTTCAGCGGCCTGCCCAAGAAGCAGTGGCTGATCCTGGGAATGGAATGTCAGGCTTGTGAGGTCATTATGCCCTGGACAGAGCAAACGTGAGAACTGAGCAACTCTCAGCAAACAGCAAAAGGATAAGAGATGCTGCTATCTGCTCCTCCCTTCTGGAAACCTTGTGAGGGGAGATAACAGCTGAAGGAGGGAGCCTTGCGGAAGCAAGACGGCTCTGTTTTGGCTAAAGAGTGCTGTGCCGTTCTCTGGTGCCAGGTATGAGCCTGAGAATGTTATCAAAAAACACAGATCAGCATCGATGGAGCCAAGAAGAGGCAGAGATGCAGAGGAGGAGCAAGGGGTGCTACTTGGCATAAAAAGGGGCTCCTCAGCACCCAAACTTTGGAACCTTTCCCCACCAAGGATCACGACGATCGTTAGCACCCACAGGACGCTGCCTGGACCTGGGACCATAGGGATGCCTTGGACCCACGGTGGTAGCTATCAATCTCCTTCCGCTTTTCACTTTACTTTCTCCTTTCCCTTCACCCTCTTTACCTATCGCACACCGCTTTACGGGCAAACAATAGTTTCACTGTTTGATTGAAGCAAACCCCTTTGGTGTGGTTGTCTGAATTTTCCACTTCGAGATCACAGCAAACCAACCATCATGAGTCCACCGAGTGGACCGTGACATTTTAAGTGGTGTCACAGACAGGATCCTGAGAGACAGAGGGGTGCAGGTTGTGTGTGGTCTGTAACAGGGGAAGGATGTTTCATTCCAGCCACACCTGGCCCTACACTCCAGAAGGGTGAGAGGTGTCCAGAAAGCAAGGGGGACAATTCAAATTTCCTGCACACCACACATGCCTAGGTGTAGTGCACTCCAAACTCAAGTTGAGGGCTCTGTCTGTCGAGATCAAGTAAAACATCTCTTAGTGCAAAAGGGGGAAACTGTTCTCACATAAAAGAGAGTTGTCTGCTCGGGAAAGTGAAGGGATAACCTTGTAGAAACTGTAAGTTGCCTCCCCGTGGTAGATTTTGGTCCCTTCAACCACTCAGGGAAAAGAAGGGCGAAGCAGCAGAAGCTGTGTGTGTGTAACTAAGTTTAGCATCCCTGAAGTGGGTTCAGTCCCTTCGTAACAAGAATGGCCAAAAATGTTGATAATCAAGAGCCTCCGTTAAGTGAAAAATTGAGACTCGTTCTATGCACTCCTACCAAAGCATGGGGCTTGACCCTCCCCACCCCGGGAAGACTGGGCTCAAGATAATTGGATAAACTTGCAGAGTGTAACAGACCGAGTGATTTCTTCACAGTATGAGGATACCTATCACAAGCCACTTTACAGGCAAACAATAAGTCTCACCGTCAGATTGTAGCAAACCCCTTTGGCGTGGTTGCCTTAATTTTGCACTTGAAGATCACAGCAAACCAACCATTACAAGTCCACTGAGTGGACAGTGACAGAGTTGCAAAACATTTTTTTTTTGGGGGGGGCACAGGGCAGATAAAATATCGAAAGAACCGGTCAAATATGCCCACATGATCAAATGAACACTTGCTTACCAGCTGTTTCACAACAACTGACCACGTAAGTACTCCTAGACAATGCAGAAATCATTTCAAAATGGGGACAGTATTACCTCAGTTCACAAGCAGCAACTCTCTATGCTACGGCAATTCAATCCTGTGCAATGTGCAAACATCCACATATATAATAACAGAAAAATATTTTATAATCAGAAAGCCTTATAACTCACAAACACTGCATACTCCATGATATAAAACTGTTATCCTCAATTTAAAGACTGATAGTCCCTTGTCCAAATGTTATTTGGTATCAACGGTATAACTATTTCTTACTGAAAAATAAAAAAATACAGCTATTTTAGAGAGCTTTAAACTTTACAATCTGTTTAACTTGCCATCAAACTGCAGGGTACAACTCTATTACAGTAAGAGTTTGCACTAATTTAGATATACTAGTTTTTATATTAACATGATTTAAACCTCATAATTACAGATTAAAGCTATATGAAGATTAATCAATTGTAAAGTTAACACTTTTATTTCAAATACCACAAAACTGCCCAAAGTATACAAAAACTCCTCAAAAGCTTCTAAAGTGTTAGCAATAAAGTCATTAGGAATTTCAAAAAAGCCTGTAGTCATACCAATGTCCTTTAACAGGCTGTGTAATTCTGAATATTCCTTGCATATACTATTTTATTTGAAAAGAGAAAACTCTCTAGATTTGAAATTACAACAGTTTTAGAACACAGCAACAGACATTTTTAATATATATTTTTGTTTTGGTTTTGAAAGTTTACTTCCCAAAGGCTCAATAGTATGTTCTTTGATCCACTCATTATATTTGTTCTTTTCTGTGGTGCTCAAATCAAATTTTCGCAAGCACTGGCCTGAAAACTTTTACAGTAACGTACAAAGTAGGACGGTTTTCATAAACATCCATCTACCACATGTGAGTTATGTTATTTGAATATTTAAATCACATTTTAGAGGCAGCCTTTACACTAGGCTAGCTAGGGTGTTCCTCTAACAAGAATTTCCGGATTCCACACAATATGGTCCATTAGCGATTTTGCTATTACATCACTCTAAGAAAGAAAAAAATTCTAAAAAATAATGATAGATCCTGAGATCATTTGCTACCTTTGGAAAACAACCACAAATTGGCAAACTGTAATGCTAACATACTCAAATAGTCCATCCCTCAAACAAATCTGATCAAGCTAGCAAGCACACATCAAAACAGAAACATGAAGCTGAAGAAAAAATATCAGATAGTAACATACTTCCATACCTAATGTTTTTATTTTAAACATACACAGGTGTTTTTATCCAGTATTTATACAGATGCAACTCCCTCTTTTCCTTCTCAGCTTCCATGGGACTTCAGTGGTAAAGGGACTACTTAGCAAGTTTCAGTGTTGTTTGCTTTTAGAGGAAAAAAAATAATTGAACCATCTCGCCATACTTCTTTCACACAATCTAAAATTATATGCACATCAACAAAACACAAAATGTTGGTTTGGAAGCAGAGAAGTCATGCATTCAGAATACATGCATAGTAATCAAACATGTGCACAGAAATTTCCATTTTCATTATTATTAAGCATGAACTTGTAGGTTTGGATCGAATATATGAATACTGAAAGCAAAATTTGCATTATATTATTTAATTCAAGGTCAGCGTGTTTTAGTAAAAATATTTTTGTGAATACAGGTTCAAAATATTCCCTTCCACTAGCTGGAGCATGTTTATTACTGGTTAGAGAAGTGAATTCCGTGGAGACTGATATGCTAAGCATCATTTTAAAGGAAAATATAATACAGTCCCTGCCCCAAAGAAACTGCATTTTCTAACAAAGGTCAGGGCAAGAGCTTCAAAGTCAGGCAAGTTAGGTTCATTCCATGGAAGCAACCTAGATCAAATTCATCAGCCAAGCTGTTCAATTCTCAAATATGAAAAAGGAAAAACCTATGGCAAGGCCTTCTCATTTCTGTATCTATACATATCGCAAACACTCTAAGCATACTAACACTGCCTAGTGTTATTTAGCATGGAATATATGCAGTTTTACATAGGGATGTCTTAGTTATACCACTTAGTCCCCTCCATGAAGGCTCACTAGTACAACTGAGGTTATTCCAAAGTCCTATCAACACACAAATTTCTGTTAAATCCTCTTTCATATACTGGTAATTTGTTCTACATTTGATTCTGAATGGCACTGGCTACTAATTCTATGTAGCTACTTTGGCCCCAACTCTTCTGAAAATAGTTTTTCTTGTACCTGCCAACATCTGTTTTCAGTATCATGTTCCAAAATTACTTTCCTCTTGCCAATGTGACTGCAAATTACTTCAACTATTTTGCTGTATATAAATGCAGTTTGACTCTCCAAAACACTTCTTATCCAAGTAAAGAGCAACTAATCTATTAGTGTGCCTTGTTTTTCATTTGTTCTATTGCTTTCATTCCTTGTTTTCCTTTCTAAGTATGGGATCCTCTGTAACAGTAAGACTAACATACATTATATATGCTTAGAGCTCATTCCAGACTTTCAAAATCCCAATGGAAATTTTTTAGCCAATTTGCTCCAGGGATGCCACAGTGTATTATCTGCTCTAGAAATGGTTTAACATTGTTTGTCTAGTACCTTAACCATTTGTTTCATGCATAGCATTAAGAACTTTTTTATTTTTTTTATTCCCTGCATTCCCCATGCCCATATGTGCAAGCCTTATAGCAATTTTATCCCCCTTTATACATCCATATTCTTCCACACAGGTAAAAGATCTTCTCCCCTTACACTCTCACATTTAACCTAAAGTGTTTGTTACGCCTATCTGCTTATGACCTCTGTTTAAAGGTTAAACTACTGTTTCCACATATGCATATAGCTCCTCTGGTAGCCTCTACTCTCTTTGCATTTGTACTTGAGTCTGTACATCCTAGACTGAATACAAATGAGGGCCTCTATAAGTTCTTTTTTATTACTATCAAAACAGGATAAAACATTTTATTCTTGTTATTTTAAATCAGATTTCCAAAATACAGATAACTTTTGCAGTATGAATTATTGACTTGATAAGATTTGTCTTAAAAATACTTATAGTTGGTTTACTGTTTATACATAAATAGAATTTTGGAGATATATCAAAAAATAGTGAAAATCAGAATACAGAAAGTCTCAAGACAACAGCGTAATATGTAGCAACTCACCAACAGGCTGAAAACAGATACAGATGCTTCAACTGCTATTCTAGTACCAAGCAGAAAAAGGGGAAAGCAGACCTACACAGTACGGTTAGAAGGGCCCTTCCTTGGTCACAGTAAAGCTGAAACACGACTAATAT